CCGACGTTGCACGGGTTCTCACTTTAATATCTTTTGGAATCCTTGGATTCTGATAGAATTCATCATGATCTACAATATTCCAAGTGCCAGATTTTGTTGCCTCTCACGGAGTCCTTGGAGTCAGTGGTAATGCTTCAAAAGTCCTCGCTAGACCATATAGGTTTTCTGGAGGTCCAAAGTTGCATGGGTACTCACTTTACAGTTTTTTGGAATCCTTGGATTCTGATATAATTCATCATGATCTACAATATTCCAAGTGCCACACTTTGTTGTCCCTCACGGAATCCTTGGAATCAGTGTTAATGCTTCAAAAGTCCTCACTAGACCATAGGGGTTTTCTGGAGGTACAAAGCTGCATGGGTACTCACGTTACAATCTTTTGGAATCCCTGCAACCTGATAGAATTCATCATGATCTACAATATTCCAAGTGCCAGATTTTGTTGCCTCTCACGGAGTCCTTGGAGTCAGTGGTAATGCTTCAAAAGTCCTCACTAGACCATAGGGGTTTTCTCGAGGTCCAAAGCTGCAGGGGTACTCACTTTACAATCTCTTGGAGTCCTTGGATTCTGATAGAATTCATCATGATCTACAATAGTTCAAGTGCCAGACTTTGTTGTCCCTCATGCAATCCTTGGAGTCAGTGGTAATGCTTCGACAGTCCTATCGAGACCATAGAGGTTTTCTGGAGGTCCGAAGTTGCATGGGTTCTTACTTTACAATCTTTTGGAATCCTTCGATTCTGATAGACTTCATCATGATCTACAATATTCGAAGTGCCAGACTTTGTTGCCTCTCATGGAGTCCTTGGAGTCAGTGGTAATGCTTCAAAAGTCCTCAATAGACCATAGGGGTTTTCTGGAGGCCCAAAGTTGCATGGGCACTCACTTTACAATTTTTTGGAATCCTTGGAATCTGATAGAATTCATCATGATCTACAATATTCCAAGTGCCACACTTTGTTGTCCCTCATGCAATCCTTGGAGTCAGTGGTAATGCTTCGATAGTCCTATCGAGACCATAGAGGTTTTCTGGAGGTCCAAAGTTGCACGGGTTCTCACTTCACAATCGTTTGGAATCCTTGGATTCTGATACAATTCATCATAATCTACAATATTCCAAGTCCCACACTTTGCTGTCTGTCATGGAAACCTTGGAGTCAGTGGTAATGCTTCAAAAGTCCTCACTAGACCATAGGGGTTTTCTGGAGGTCCAAAACTGCATGGGTACTCACTTTACAATCTTTTGGAATCCTTGGAATCTGATAGAATTCATCATGATCGACAATTTTCCAAGTGCCAGAGTTTGTTGTCTCTCATGGAATCCTTGGAGTCAGTGGTAATGCTTCGATAGTCCTATCGAGACCATAGAGGTTTTCTGGAGGTCCAAAGTTCCATGGGCACTCACTTTACAGTCTTTTGGAATCCTTGGATTCTGATAGCATTCATCATGATCTACAATATTCCAAGTGCCAGACTTTGTTGTCTCTCATGGCATCCGTGGAGTCAGTGGAATGCTTCAAAAGTCCTCACTAGACCATAGAGGTTTTCTGGAGGTCCAAAGTTGCATGGGCACTCACTTTACAGTCTTTTGGAATCCTTGGATTCTGATAGAATTCATCATGATCTACAATATTCCAAGTCCCACAATTTGTTGTCTGTCATGGAATCCTTGGAGTCAGTGGTAATGCTTCAAAAGTCCTCAATAGACCATAGGGGTTTTCTGGAGGTCCAAAGTTGCACGGGTTCTCACTTTACAATCTTTTGGAATCCTTGGAATCTGATAGAATTCATCATGATCCACAATATTCCAAGTCCCACACTTTGTTGTCTGTCATGGAATCCTTGGAGTCAGTGGTAATGCTTCAAAAGTCCTCACTAGACCATAGGGGTTTTCTGGAGGTCCACAGTTGCATGGCTTCTCACTTTACAGTCTTTTGGAGTCCTTGGCATCTGATAGAATTCATCATGTTCTACAATATTCCAAATGCCACACTTTGTTGCCTCTCATGGAATCCATGGAGTCAGCGGTAATGTCTCAAAAGGCCTGTGGAGACCATAGGGGTTTTCATGAGGTCCAACAGTGCATGGCTTCTCACTTTACAATCTTTTGGAATCCTTGGAATCTGATAGAATTCATCATGTTCTACAATATTCCAAATGCCACACTTTGTTGCCTCTCACGGAGTCCTTGGAGTGAGTGGTAATGCTCCAAAAGTCCTCACTAGACCATAGGGGTTTTCTCGAGGTCCAAAGCTGCAGGGGTACTCACTTTACAATCTTTTGGAATCCTTGGATTCTGATAGAATTCCTCATGATCTACAATATTCCAAGTGCCAGACTTTGTTGTCTCTCATGGAATCCTTGGAGTCAGTGGTAATGCTTCAAAAGTCCTCACTAGACCAAAGGGGTTTTCTTTAGGTCCAAAGTTGCATGGGTTCCCACTTTACAATCGTTTGGAATGCTTGGATTCTGATACAATACATCATAATCTACAATATTCCAAGTCCCACACTTTGTTGTCTGTCATGGAAACCTTGGAGTCAGTGGTAATGCTTCAAAAGTCCTCACTAGACCATAGGGGTTTTCTGGAGGTCCAAAGCTGCATGGGTACTCACTTTACAATCTTTTGGAATCCTTGGAATCTGATAGAATTCATCATGATCTACAATATTCGTAGTGCCACACTTTGTTGTCTCTCATGGAATCCTTGGAGTCAGTGGTAATGCTTCAAAAGTCCTCACTAGACCATAGGGGTTTTCTGGAGGTCCAAAGCTGCATGGGTTCCCACTTTACAATCGTTTGGAATCCTTGGATTCTGATACAATTCATCATAATCTACAATATTCCAAGTCCCACACTTTGCTGTCTGTCATGGAATCCTTGGAGTCAGTGGTAATGCTTCAAAAGTCCTCAATAGACCATAGGTGTTTTCTGGAGGTCCACAGTTGCATGGCTTCTCACTTTACAATCTTTTGGAATCCTTGGAATCTGATAGAATTCATCATGATCTACAATATTCCAAGTGCCAGACTTTGTTTTCTCTCATGGAATCCTTGGAGTCAGTGGTAATGCTTCAAAAGTCCTCACTAGACCATAGGGGTTTTCTGGAGGTCCGAAGTTGCATGGGTTCTCACTTTACAATCTTTTGGAATCCTTGGAATTTGATAGAATTCATCATGATCTACAATATTCCAAGTGCCAGATTTTGTTGCCTCTCATGGAAGCCTTGGAGTCAGTGGTAATGCTTCAAAAGTCCTCACTAGACCAAAGGGGTTTTCTTTAGGGCCAAAGTTGCATGGGTTCCCACTTTACAATCGTTTGGATTGCTTGGATTCTGATACAATTCATCATAATCTACAATATTCCAAGTCCCACACTTTGTTGTCTGTCATGGAAACCTTGGAGTCAGTGGTAATGCTTCAAAAGTCCTCACTAGACCATAGGGGTTTTCTGGAGGTCCAAAGCTGCATGGGTACTCACGTTTACAATCTTTTGGAATCCTTGGAATCTGATAGAATTCATCATGATCTACAATATTCCAAGTGCCACACTTTGTTGTCTCTCATGGAATGCTTGGAGTCAGTGGTAATGCTTCAAAAGTCCTCACTAGGCCATTGGGGTTTTCTGGAGGTCCAAAGCTGCATGGCTTCTCACTTTACAATCTTTTGGAATCCTTGGCATCTGATAGAATTCATCATGTTCTACAATATTCCAAATGCCACACTTTGTTGCCTCTCATGGAATCCATGGAGTCAGCGGTAATGTCTCAAAAAGCCTATCCAGACCATAGGGGTTTTCTGGAGGTCTAAAGTTGCATGGGT